TACAAAATATCCTGATTGTACTAAAGAAGCAGTTTTTTTACAGAAGTAAAATATAATACTATTTAATATAGCGTAATGATCACATCCTGTTTTTGAATATTTTTTCAATTATATTAATATGCATTTTTAAAATAGAGAAATGAGACTTACGTTCAGCCAATTGGAGAAACGAAATAGCTATATTTTTTTGCACTCGTTGATTTGTTCTTTCAATGATGATCTTGGCTGCTTTAATGATTGAGAATCTGCGATCGTCTAAAATTGTAGACAGCTTCCTTACTTCTGTTACAGAATATATATTCGGATATAGTTGAGCAAAATCCTTATAAATCTATAACGAAAACATATATTATTAATTATATTCATTATTATATTGTACTTATATAAAGATTATTATTAAATTGTACATTTCATTTCCAAATCAAATAATAAAACCACACAAAATATGGTACAAAAAATTATAATCAGAAATTATGAATGAATAGTTGACTATATTGGTATAAATATTCTTTAAATATTTTATAAACAAATAAATTGAAAAAGAAATACGACATAAAACATGAGAAAACAATAAAATTATTATACAAGCTTTCGTAATAATGTATTATTTTTATAAAAAATGAAAATTATTGAAAAGTTAAAATTTAAAAACAAGCAGTACAAGATTATTATAAAATAATAAAAACTTACAAAAGCTTTTCCAATGTCGTCAATTTTCAGGAATGGAAAATTATTTAAGTAATCCCAAACAGTTCCTGATTGATCAACCAGTAGCTTCCGTCTATAATTGAAAGTTGCTTCCCAGGAAGCTGCCAATTCTAGAGTGAGTTTATTGTGTACTTTGTTGCGCAAAAAATATAAATGATGTTGCAAATTTGGATCACTTTCTGAAAAAAAGATTAAACTTATTGTATATTTTATGTAAACATTGTTGAGACAATTGTAGTCTTAATTATATTTCTTCAGTAATATGTAGAATAATATGTAACGATAATGTATTAGAACAAAGAAAAGACATTGAAAAGAAATATAAGGACAAATTAATATATGACAAGTACTATTTAATATTTATTTTATTTTATTTTGAGAAAAGATGATAACGTACCTGTTATCAAGACTTCGCCGCGATGCTGCACTTCCTCTCCTTGTTGACCGACAGGTCTCCAAACATTCGTGACGATAGGTAGATTTAAAGTACCAGAATAACTTATGTTGTTGCCATCAGAATTAACACTTGAATTCCTCAGCAGAACACTTGGATCTTTCTTAATCAATTTTCTTCTTTCTTGGAACAGTTGAACCTGCAGTGCTCCCTCTGCTCTCTTTTTTTGAATTATAATACCGTCCCTCCGTTTAGAAGGTTCGTACTTAAAGGCATAGAAACAGGACGTTGGTGTCTTCGGAAAGAGACGCTTAAAATATTGCGCCCACCTTGTGAGAATGGATGTCAATATTTTGCGTTTTGGAGGAATAGCCAGGTTAAGAAGATGCTTAGCAACAACTTTCGCAATTAAATTAATGTCACGTCCTTCTGGTACCAAATCTTTGCGATGGGGGTTGTCAACGAGTTCTTGACAACGATATCCACTTTTTTTTAATAAAGCAAACAATGGATTTTCGAACTGAGAATCTTCTGTGTTTACTTCAGGAACTATTGGCTGCATTTGCAACTGCTCAGCATCAATTGTTTCTGGTGCTTCATGTAAAGTAGTTTCTACTTGTTCAATGTCCAACAAATCTTGAACTACATCCTCTGGTGTTATATTTGTCAATTCTGCTTCGTGTTGTACAGGATGTTCACAAGGAACATCTACTTCTTCTTCAAGACGTAAACAGAAAGAATCAGTAAAATCTTCATTATTTTCCTTTTCATTTCCTGAGACTTCTTTTTGTACCAATGAAGCATCTTCATCAAAAATTATTTGAGCAGATTGCACGTTACCAAATGTCTGGAATAAAAAATTTGGCCATAAACTTTTCTTAACATTCTTAAAAAGTAATTAAACATTTATGCTAACATTTGCACTAACACAATTATATGTAACGAAGTTATGAAAAAATTTTAATTAATTAGGGGAATTATAACAATACTGCCAGCATATAAAATTATAAAATAAATGTAAGAATAATAATACACAAAAGCAAAGCATTTAGTTTAGTCATGGAAGAAAAAGCATTAACATACTGATAAATAACTTTACGAAAAGTATAATAAAACAGGAAGAAAAGGAGAAATGAAAGAATAGAAAAAAATAAA